TCCTTTACCAGGAATATAGAAAAATCATTTCTCATCATTTCACTATGACACAATCCCTCGGAGTTAGACATATCATCCGCTTTCCACTATCATCTCTTTGATGCAGGAAATATGTTCCCCACGAATTCGAATGTGAAAACGTATATCTCTACCGCGCTGAACGTCTAATTTATGATGTTAAAACTTTGTAAAATGTAAATCTATGCAGTTGTTTAACGACAAAATTGCATCCTTACTTGTGAACGGTAATGTTTAAATTATATATTTTTCACAAATATGTACCTGCGAGCATTTAAATAGTAAGCATATTAACTTACTTATTTGTAGTGGTAGATAAGCTGGTCGTAGGAAGGTTACCAGGACCCTAACTAATTGCTTTTCATTCCCCCCGACTCCATCACAGCTAATTAGCGTATAACATTATAATTGCCATCCTCTGCATCTTTCTTGAGTGCTGTTTCAAACACCTTGACAACCTGATGACTACTGATAGTTGATTGGCCTATGACTACTCTAATTACCTTCCTTTTGTTTGCTGTTTCTCATCTCTGACGATGGACTCCTGTTAGAGTTCGAAAGCTCAGGAATATAAACCCTTTAATCCGGTGCTCGACATGTACTCTTCTCTGCCAATGTAAGCGGTAATGTCCCTAACAAGGCATAAATAAATGAGTATCCAAAAAAGGGAAGGGGTAGACATATTATAGAGGACGGGGTGGGGCTCATACGCCTAACAAACAGGTTAAAATCGCAACTTATGAAGTAGGTTCACCGGACAGTGTAATTCTTATTGATGGATTAACTATGCAACTTCAATTTATCTTTTCAAAACCATAATCGTGCGATCGTTGAAACAGTCCGCATATTAACCATTTCATTTGGACGCGCAAAAGGTGCCGTCGACAGAGCATGTTTAAGGGTCAACAAGTAAGTTTGTAGTCAAACAATAGGGAAGAGATGGACTATTGTCCTTGACGCGGAGAGGTTACATCACCCTACACACAGTTTGCGTTTTTGGCCAGGAAGTGGGTCGCGCAATCTAGACAAATGAGTCCTGTGCTCAACTGTCCTGAGAAGATTGGATCATATTGCCTCAGCTGTTCCGGCCCTGCCCGAAGTCCGACTTGCACGAATAGCCGCGTGCGTGCTGCCACGCCGAACTGTTGGTCTGCTCCGAACCGAGTGAAGTCTTAAGAGAGCCAGTCGCCCCCTCCCCACAATGAAGGCCCGAGAGGACGCCAACGTTACGTCGGTCCGTCATGTGTGTGCTTCAGGAACGCAGGGCAGCTGTCAGATGACGAGCGATATCCACGTCCAAATCGGCGACAGTACGACTTATTTTTTATCAATGGTAGAGTATGAGAAAATATTTAGCATTCTCGTCCATTTGTTCCTCGTCATAACGTACAAATCCAACTGATTGGTGAATTTACTTATTAGCGTCTTTCCTTACTATTTAGTCTGTGAAGTGCATTTGCTTGCGCTTAACACTTTGCATCTCAGGAAAGCACTTCCTTTGTTTAAGAAATCACGCTAACACAGCCACATGACGCCAACTACTTCTCAACCAAGGTTTCACTTTGTCACATCGCAGTGAAACCACTGTAAGATAGGCAATGCAAACCCGGCGTACGCACCTACTCTGTCCCCCTCCTCATGTTTTTGTTTGATTAGTATAATGTACCTTTTGTGGCATTTGCAAAACCGCTGTAAATGGGTTCCTTTATAACCCCGAAAGCTAATGCATTATGTGTTTCATTGATGAAGTGATCATATTAATCTTAGTACTTTAAGCATTTTCGAGTAACCTCCAATCTGGAATTTTAAAACGCGCTAGGCACACTGCTGGTAAATATATAATCTAACAAATATTTGATTTCCATAACAATGTTTGAGAACAGAAGTTTATGAAAAACAGAATTAAACTTTGGATTCTAGCGCTTTTAATCTGGTATTGCTGAAGTTTGCACAAGGTCCTCATCTGTGCGTTACAACGTGGAAAACCCCCGTGACAAGCAGAGTGTAGCCACCTACGGAATCCACACGCCAGCTCTATATGATCCTTTAGAAATTGCCAGTTGAACTCTTCTTTTAAATATCTGCCAAGCGGTGCCTTTTGTCAATACAATAGCTTGTATTTCAGTTGGCGACTGCAGAACAGAGCATGCTCTCGATCATATTGAACATAAGTGTGCTTAATTTAACTCATGAATTAGGCATATTTTTGCGTAAACTTTTCTTGAAATGATTTTGCCAAAATAAATATTTCGTCAATTTTACAGAGCTGGCCAATTACCCTGTATTTTTGATGTGATGTTTCCTGATTTTAAACATATAAACATTCTGTGTACTAAATCCGGAATTAAGGAACTGACTAAAAGTAAAATCTGTTTCATACTTCGTAAAGCAAGTGTATATTTTTAAAGTTTATACAAGAAATTACAAATTATTTTGCGGACTGAGGTCGCAATATTGGGCTAGCAATTCAACTTAAATAGCAAACAGTTATACTTATAAAATATAATAAATATATTACAGATTATAGATTAAATAAACAAGGTTCACAACAGTTCCGATACTGTCCGCCCTGTTTTCATAGTCAACTACCTTATCAGGAGGAAAAGAAGGAATAAAGAAGAGGAAGATACTATTGATAATAATGATGAGGAGGAGTGGTAATAGGAGAATATCCAGTGAATGGTTATGTGGTGACAGTTTCATTGACAAGATTGAAGATTAAAGCCAGCAACACAAAACCGGAGGTCTCCTCTTTTATTAATAAACTGGAATTTTGTTTTAAAAACACCTATTGGACGCCTGACTAACTCTCGTGCGTTTAAAAGAATAAAGTGACAATAAACAATACTGTTCAGTAATGAAGTAAAAAGTGCTTATCCCAACAAAGTGCAGTTAAAAATTGCATTAATTTTTCAGGGATGTTCTGACGAGGTCTATAATGAAAATGGATACGTTCAGGCTCATGGCGACCTCACTGATACAAACGTCCACATTTTTCCTAAAACGTTTTTCGGTTCATACAAGCAATCGTCCAGTATGTTGCACCAACGTGTGGTTTTGAATAGTGATGCTTACTACTCATGTAGGTTGTTAAATTTTGCAATAGTACTAGAGACTCACTATAAGTACAATGTGGTCAATCACAGCCTGCAGTTCATAATCTAAGTGCATCAAATAGATTGAACTCTTTGATGGCTTCGCTGAAGGTTCGATTTAATCGCAAAACGTGTCGTTCTCTCATAACCTTCTAAAAGCTGGCCTTTATACACTGTTTGCTTTTGTGCATCGGCGTTACTGTCGTATAGCATTCGTCAGCCTAATTTTCCCTCTTTTTACTTATAAACACATCGGTACACATTCTGATTCATTCATTCGACTGCTGATAAAAATAACAACATATCGTGTTCCTCCTACAAAGCATGCCGCTGGGCAGTGCCTAATGTTCTTAGTTCACCTAATTACATTTTTAATTTAAATTAACCTGCAGCTTTTTTAATTGGACAAGGATTTAATACAGATTTAAGGATTACAGAATAGCCACAGCTGTAGTTGGGCTACCCTTCCAACCTACACGCTTTACACTTTCTCTTTAAGAAAAACCACATATTTTTGCACACAAGTTTGTCAATTATTAAGGGCTATTTTGTTAACAGCGGAATTACCTTCTCTAAAGTACATTAAAGTATGGAGTACAAATGGGAATCGGACTTGCTTAACACATCTTAAAAAGGTAAACTTTGTTAAAAAATATAATACGCCATGCCTTTAGGTACCTTTTTTTAACATCAACGTCATGTGCAATCAGATGAGTAAAAATGAATGTTCTCGTTTATGTGAATTATAAATTTAGGAATTTAAACGAGAATTGCGACCGAATTGAACACAGTTAACGGCTTTGCTTTTGACCGCTGTTGAACATGAATGACATTCAGTTGCCGGCAGTAACTAGGGTCTGAAATGTCCAACGATATCGCTACTTAAAAATTAGTCTCACATTACTGCTGAGGCCGTGCAGTTAAGCTATCCATTAAGTTTTCAACGAAGGTGTCGATATTATTCTGGCTATAACAGATACTATGAATAGTAATTATTGAAAGGATTTTCGATTGATCGCCTGTATTAAAAATCCTTGTGATAAAGTTGGGTATTAGTGTTTGACCAAACGTTTCTAGTTTAGAAAAAATCAATTATTTCGTGTCTAATGTTTTCCCTTCAAGATCCTTGGACAAGATGTCATAAATATATTCAAAATAAAGGATTCTTCTTAAAATAAGGAAACAAGCAACGAATGCACATGGATAAATCATTTTTTAAAGAAGATCTCCTTAAAAATCAAATATTTAATGTGCAAACGAACACAAAATAGTATTATGGTTATGCAAAGAAATTTATGCTTAAAATAAGTTTCCCTGTTCGAATGAATGGTATGGTTCATGTTTATATATATATATATATATCTAGTATATCCGTCCGTCGTTTCTACCATTATAACCTCATCGGTAAAGTCCATTCCAGGCACCAATTATTCTCTGTAAAAAATACGTAATAATAAATACCTAGATAGATAAGGTCCCTTTGACCTTAAGTAAATTCGCAAACATCTAATGTCTTTGTGGCCATTACAAAGAAATCCTCGTTCTGGGGGCTACGGTCCCGGTTTCTAACATACCGTTAGGTCTGTATTTGTTTTTTCTCCAAAAGGCTGCGCTTAAAGGATCAAAGTTTCAAAGTAGCAATTCAGCAAGTATTTAGACCTTTAAAAATTTGCCTAATCATTTTTTAACCTTTCATCAGCAACTTAGGACGTTTTTACCGAGAGGGCTCGCCACGCCCGTAATCCATCATTACTCCCGCTCTAGGCTTTGAGACAGAGAAGATCAACTTTTCTTTAAACATACGGAACTTGAAATATGTAGAAAATAATAAATGATTCAGTAACGCCTCAATCATGAGTCTACAACATCCCTTTTTGTCCTTTCTAGGCCATCTACATGATGGTTGGCGAAACTAACCCCGGCCCAGAGAACCAACCCGATGTTCGGACAAGCGCCATTTTCAAAAAAATGGACCTCAACTCGGACCATGTCCTCTCCAAGGAGGAATTCATCCGGGGGTGCATGAACGATGAGCATCTGTACAATCTTCTCGCTAGTTCGTCCAGTTAGGCTTTCAACATACTTTTTGCTAACTTTAAAGCCGCCGACCAAACAGAAAACAAGAGATGCATTTTGTCCACACAAAACACATACCTAAGGCATGTGGTAAAAATAAATGTGCCGATGTATTATTATATCAGTCTTCTGTCGAATATTGCACTTCTCCTGACTATAGTGAGGTCTTTTTGGGGATGCGGAGGGACATTATACATCGTCCATTCGGTAGTCGAAACACTTTGATACGTAAAAAGTAATAAAAGTTTTTTTTTCGGATCAGCGGTTTAATGCACATCTGAGTAAAGTACCTTTAATTTGAATCAGAAACACTTGGCGTTTGTTCATTTTATGAAACCACTGCACAGTTCAAACGTGAAAAGTGGCGAAACCCCAATGTAAGAGCCCAACGTGATGGAGATCGGTTGAACAGATGGCGCTGGTCACCTGCCAATGTCGTACAAATATCAGGATAGCCGGGCGTGGGTGTCTATACATGTCATTTATGTGCAACAAACAAGAGCGAGACCCGAATTCTTACACCAGGCTTCTATGAAGACAGTTCTAATCTCATATTAGCAGGTAATGTCATAAATTCACCTAAAGAACAAGGTATTATACCCTGATTTTCTGACATGAATAGGGCCGAACAACTCCGCCAGTTGAAACTTCTTCAAGCCATGATGTTTTACAGGAAGAGGTACGTCTAGGTGTACCACATTTATTACGGAGAAGGTTGCACTGGATTCAGTATCGTTGAAATTTGTCTCCGGTTCCCTCTCCCAAGCGTCAATCGAGCTACCGAAGCCGCCAACCAGTAACTGGTTAGGTGTGAGCAGTCAATTACAGGGCTATACCGTTACGTGTAGGTGCGCCACGCAGAATCATGTCATCCGGTCATGCAAAAATGTAAACAATTGACTGCGTTGTTAGAACTATAAAGTCTATATGTTTGCCAATGTGGACTGCGATGATGCAACGAGTTTTTAAATGCAGCGTATTTGTTAGGAGTCCAGTCAAACCGAATGCCAGCACAGTCTTGTAGGCTGTCTTGACGCGTCGGGCCTGCGGCCGACTGGAACAATTACGCCTTTGTGAATGCGAACAACCCCCCTAAGGTCATATGCCTTTGTTTTGACCTTACCCAAACGATGGTCTTACACCTATGGATCGAACCCATTTGCGCGCACCTGACCAACTGGTTGAAGTTCTTCAAGGGCCACTTAGGTGCCTCGCAAGGCAGGTGGCCTTATTTCAACGCGCAAAATTACGACACAAGCGAACTCGCCTGACAATCATTGTCACATCTCAGACAGTGAGTTGCAAGGACAAGGACACCGCCAGTCCGCTAGACTTTGCCCTGAGGCCGGACATACAGCGCGCTGGGTTTACGCCAGCGAAAACTGCCACCAGAAAAAGCAACTCCGGGATGTGAAAACAAT